TCCAATTAATTATTTTTAAAAAATCCTACAAACCACATTTAAAACTAATAAACTCTAAAATTCTATGAAGACAGCAGTAGTATCCAGACAGAAGACAGAACAGTTAACCGAAAGTCCTGGAATAAATACTTCTATGGCCAGTATTGGATATTCATAAGGGTTAGTTAGCATCAACTATATTTGAACAGAAACAGAATTTTATAACCACAGCAGTAAAAACAATTTAATCAAGATTTGGATTACAATATGAAGGAAGAGGAAATTAACCCTTTAATTATGGTGTAACTGTATGTATTACAGAGGATTTAAATAGTATTAAAAAAATACATTGTGGTGGCATAGTATCTGATGAGCAGATTGCATCCCTTGTCTATTAATATGACATGTGAAGGTCATCAAAATAACTAAATTATATTTCTAAATTTAAAATCAATCCAAAACAATGTATTATGAAGTATCCCCAGATGACTCTTCATAAAAAGTACAGAATGTATCCAGACTGAAATATATAGATTGTTAGGATGTCTGTTCCACTATGTGAATATCACATTTTTTTTTTGTTTTATTTTGGTGGCACTAGTAAATTTGTTTCTGTTTCAGAATGAATTATTCATCATTTTAAACTAACAGATAAGAGCAAATATTTCTTTAATCCATTTAATTTGTTAAATAGTTAAAATATTGTTATATTTTAAATATAAAGAAAACAAAATCTATGAATATTAATAAAAATAAGGATTTTTGATGGAATCAGCTGAAGCTTAGTGAAGCTGAAAAATTAAGTCAGCTTTGAAATCAGAGAGTCAGGGAGAACTGCAGTTCTTGCTTTTGCCATTAAACAGCTATACGTAGTCTAAAACCATAGCAGATTTTTTTCAATGCTACCATAATCCTTCCTAAGATTAACATTTTTATTAGTATAGAAGCAAAAGAATCTTGTATCACAGACATTTATTACTTGTATTAAAGGTAAAGGGTCTTTCATCACTTTAAAAAGTAACATATCTGACATGGAACACCTCAAGTTATTTATCTGCTATATACTTTATGTATTGAAATGCTGCAAATTATAGAATAAAATTTCAATAATTTCAGAGGAGGGGATAAAAACAATGCTCTAGTATCAGGATCTTATCATTTATAGTCTTATAGTTTTAAATTAGGGAGCAGATTTAAAGCAGATGGCTTTAAATTCCAGAGAGAAACAGTAAGTAGGCAATACCTATTGTAAGTAAGCAATATTTTTTCTTATCAAAACCTATGAATCCTGGAAGAAGACTGTCACTGAATCATATTAGATATGTAGGTGAATCTATTTATTTATATTCCCTCCCTCTCTGTCTGTCCCTTCCTCCTTCCATCCATCTACTGAAAAGTTCTAAGAAATGTTTCCAAATTTTGGTTTACTTTAAGGCATAAGGTATACCTTAAATTATAATATATTATTATATTTCTGCAGTTAGATTTTTGAACAGGACCAGAGACACCTCATTTTAATATTACTTGATTTTTGTAGGGCAAAGACTATGTAATATTTTCACAGAGATGTAGATGATATTTGAATGATACATCCGAGAGTAATATTCCAATGTTGGCAAAATCTGGACAATGGAGGTAGGACAGGACAAATATATAAAATATATTAAACAGTGTAATGTGGTAGTTAAGGTGTTGGATTAGGAGCACTGAGACATAGGCCATCCTGAGCCATGGAAACTCATTGGGTGATTTGAGGTCATTCAGTCTCATTCTCAGCATAATCTTCTTCATAGGATTATTATAATTATGATAAAATAAAGGATTATTTCCATGTAAAGTATGTAATTCTAAACTCCCAGAGAAAATGCACCACCAACAAAAAACAGCAATAGGTTACAAACCAGACAGACCCCAAATGGATACTCAGCTTTAAGATTTTGACTCAAATACAAAATACTCAGTAAAACCTGCATATTGGTTTCATCAGTCAACATTATTTATGTTAAAATGTATTATTCAAACTATTATAACTAAGTAATATCTGTTTCACACATAACTACAGTTTTACTTATAATCATCATCTATAAATTATATTCATTTCTTATTTTTCCATTTTCTCTTTTCCTCTCCTCAACAACCTATCATGCATGATCCATCCAAAGCTTCAGATATAATAAACTCATTATTATTTATAATGATATGAAGTTACTGGTTACAGCTTGCTAGTACATCTAACACTTTGTAAATTATTTTTTCTTTCTGAATTAATAAATAAATATATACGGGTAACCAATTTTCAAAAAAATTCAGCAATTTTGGTTTGGTCTACTATTAGAAAATTGGTATACTTTCCAATTATTGTTTGCATTTTAAGGATATAATTCTGAAAAGTTTTGTTGATGTTTGTATTGCCACAATGTCATTAGTACTGTGCTTCATCTATAAATAATACACAGCTGCAACTTATTTTCTAGGAATTCTTCTATAAAAATATTATAGCAGAGTATAAGTGTCATAAAGTAGATAGACTTTTATTTATCCATATTATCAAGGTGATTTAATTATGGATATGAATGACCAAATATGTAATTGCAATTTTAATTTCAGCTGATGGTTCTGCACTAGACAATTGGAAACAAGAAGAGATAATAAACTATATATCCATATTTAGAAAAAATAACTTCAAAAGTCTACTTTCATCAATAAAACAAATATTAATATTCCCATTTCTAAAATATGCAAAAAAGTACAGCCCCATGTATCTTTAGTCAAGAACTCAAAATGCATTTCTTGCTTATAATAAAACTGCTCACCCAGGTTCAAAGTAGACTACAACAGCTTAAGGTTAACATACACTTTAAATAATTATTGCTAATGTTTAATAGCAAAGTACTTTGGTATTCAGTGTAAGAAATGTGGAAAATGAAAAAAATGTACAATGCATTCTTTGCTCCACTTTCAATTGCACTATAGGCTTCTAGGCAACTCTCTTTGCAAGTGTTTGGGAAATAGAGTGAACTGCTGTTTCATCTATAGAAACTGCCCATATAGCTTTTATAACCTTATACAATAAACTTAAACCAGAATGTTATTGTTCTAAAACTGCTACTTTTCTCCACTAACATATTTCTTACCAAAAGGCTGTTTCTGCATAACCATTCATTGCATCTTTTCTCCACAAAAAAATCACCCACACAGGCACATTACATATTTTGGGATTGAAGTCCAAAATTACCTAGTTGTTTCAGAGAATTTGCTTTAAAGCAAAATCCCTCTTCTGAAATTTGCTCTTCTGTAGCACCTGTTTATCCATAATGCTGGACTTTTGGGGTACTGTATTTGCCTTGTAAAAGACATCTACTTCCAATGTAAGATAGTGTATGGTATTTCTAAGAAAGATGCTACATAAGCAGGTGCACAATAAAAAAATAATACCAATGCTGTGGTGCAAATGCAACATTTAAATCACTAAATATCACAACTGATACAATAGCACATACTATCATCATTTTTGTTACAATAATCCAAAATCAGTGTCTCATATCAACTAGTTAACTCGAATATTATAATCATTTTAAATCTTTACGATGAACTAGTTTGCCTTTGAAGAAAATTGATACACTCTAGAGAGGGTAAAAGAAATCTTTAGTGTGCTTCTCCTTTCATAACACTGCAAGTGGAGTCTGCTATGATCATCAAATGCTTTTACATTATAAGTTTAGACTCAAAATGCAGGGTGCATAATCCCCACTGTACTTAGAGTAACCTACCAGGCATACCTCTCATACCAACTTCTGCACTGAAACTCTATTTAAATAGCTAAAGTTTTCTATACCAACCATAATATCACATGGTATATAGAAAATTGTACTTGAATAATCTTTCTTGTGAGGAACTTAAGTATCTCTGCCAATTTTTAATTAAGCTTTAGTTTTCTATAATACATCACATTTTAACCTGGGAAAATATATGAGAAGGAAAAATATACAAGTAATAAACCAAAGTGATGTACAATAAATTCTCAGTTATTAAAGCATGAATGAGTTTCAATTACTTCAGGTTAAAACTTACAAATATGTAAATGCATAACATGCTACCTTACACATAAATAATACTGATGCAATTCATGTCATGTCCTATCAATGTGATCTTGACTTCCTTCTGAATAAACATATTTATGCAAAGGCTAAGAAAATGTTCTCTGCATGTTGCCATATGACATACAGATACTATGATTTACTCTGAAGTCCTATGCACAGTGAGTCTAATTGAGTTCTATGAGTTTATTTTATTTTATTTTATTTTTGCTAAGTATGTTTGGACCAAACTAGTACTTTGATGGGAGACCACCAGGAACGCACAAGGCTGTAGGCAGAGAAATATCATGGAAGAGAGGAACGGAAAACCATTTGCATATTGTGTGGATAAGAAAAATTAGAGAGATATAGTCATCAAATGTTTAGTTTGTGTCAAGGAAAACTTTACCTTTACTATTTTTCATATAAACTAAATAGGTTTGACCCTATTTATTTAACCCTAACCCCTTACACTGTAAATTCACATGAAGCATGTGAGAACAAAATATGGATTACATTTCCCCAAATGCTTTGTTCAAATGCAACATTATCATTTAAAAATGAATATTATCTGTCTATTATAGAAAGCTGAATATCCTCCAAATCCTATAGTTGTCAAAATAATCAAAGTAAAGCAAGAGAGAAAAGGAAAGGGAACTCCTCTTAACAAATATCAAATTCATTTTAAGGAAATAAAGCAACATTCGCTGTATGCCATAGGTGCTATATATTTTTCTATATAGGTACATATGAAAATCGTATAGCAATCAATGGAGCTTACTTCAAGTATGTGTACATAGTACTGTGAATTAATTACCTTTCAATAAAGTTAACAGCACTAACAAACAAGAATCAGAACCTTAAAATGCATGCTAGCAATTTTGCATTCATCTTGGCTACACAAACCTGCAGTGGTCTGTGTATTAACATTTAACAACCAGTCTGCAGTGTTGAGCAGAGTCATGTCACCTAAAGGAAAATTGCAAAGAAAATAAAATGCTAGTAGTTTTTCCATATATGTCACAGAATCACATCTATATAATATCCATCAGAAAAGTTTTACTTCTTTTAAATTGGTATGGCATGTTAAGCTCTGTTCCTTACTTGGAATTGTTGCATTAAATTACTTGGAATTGTTGCATTAAAATAATTATAACTTAACATCCTGATAGGTTTGTTTAGAAAGAAACCCCCTTGTGGATTTCATTAGTTAAAGTTGTTAACTCCAGAATATAATAGTTATCATCATACTTATACTTGCAGCATATACAGTATATACAAATCTGAAAGATTTTTTAAAGTAGCACCCCCTTTCCCATTTAGATGTCCTTCTATGTATCTCCAAGTAATTTTTAATTAAAACTGAGAGCAAAGATGATTGGAAGACGGGGGATGGCAAAGGTCAGTGGAGGGGTATCTCTCACTTAAAGGAATGCAGTATATGTACAAGTGAAACAAAACCTTTTTTCTTTTAATATACTAAACTTTCTTATAAAACATTAAATTTTCCTATTACCTTTTTCAAATATTTCAAAGGAAATTGTTAATTTGTTCTACACAGCATATTGTATGTGTAGTTTCCCTAAAATATTGCCATGCTAAGATCCTTATTCAATGCATATTGGAAGGCTAACAACCCCTTTATATTTGCATCTCCTATGGCACCATGTGTTTATGCATTCTAACCTATTAAATTACAATTTTGCACATTTTCATATTAAATTATCTTTTTAAAATATATATGTAAACTGAGATAGCAACAGAGTAGTCCGTATTACTTTCTTTATATATCACAATATTTCATTTAGTGGCAAATTAACCATGTAAATGAACGTGCAAGATAAAAAAAATCTTGAAAAGTTACCAACAGCAAGCTTCAAACATCTATAAACTACTAACTAATTATAACTGGTCTCTAGCACCACCTTATATTCATTAAAAATGTACACAGTAGCAGAATTTATCTAGTTAAGCATTCTTGCATATCTACTAGAGAAGTCTGGTTTCCAAGATGCTAAACCTGAAAGTCATGATAGTAACTTTCAGATGCCAAAACAAAGCTGCTGCTTAAAATCAGCAAACAAACAAACAGCTAGGTGAAAAAGTTGGTTATCCCTAGCCTTTATGCAGAAGACTGGAGAAGGATTCCAGCATACGTTCACCACTTTCATTCAAATAATAAAGCCCAAATGTAATGGGTAAGGTCTAATATAAAATTTCATATTAAGTTTACAAAGTATATATTGATGTTTATATATATATATATATATCTCACAGGCAACATACACAATCAGGAACTAACCTTCTGTGCCATTGGGTGTCATGGAATTATTATTTAGGTGAGAATTATCAAGTTTTGGACCATTAGGAGACTCACTGCCAGCACTCAGACGGCTATGTGGGCTGGCTAAATCCTGCATTTCCATAGGCCTAAAAAAAGAAATAATTTTAACTACAGAAACACAATTCAAGACTTTTCATATACTATAGCTACAATTAATTTTTCTACCTCAAATACATAATCATTTCTGTAAGTGCAAATCTACATATATTTATAGCTTTGGAAAGTCTGTAAGAAATAAAATCCAATAGATCTTATTCCCAGGTAAGGAGTTTTGTACCTTTCCATACACAATGCATTAATGTCTAATGAGAACCTTAACATAGCAAAAACAAGTTTCTTCTTATAATATATCCACTATTTGTATAAATTATGTGTCAGAGGCAATAACAGTACATTAAAAGGTGAGTACCCAAAGCAATACATTAGCACTGGTTGCTTGCATATAATTTACCAACCAATTACAATTTAATGGGCCTCCAAACCAAAGAAAACACTTGAAGTAATAGTTGAACCTAGAGTCTACTGACAAGGAATGAGATATTCCTGATGTATGTGTTTACTTTAGCAAACTACTTAATTGTTCCTCTGTTTCCATTGAAACAAATGCAGCATTAAAATATTATTATGTCTGTTCTCATGTTTGCTTTGTGGATTACATAAAGTGTGCCCCACTGAAAAGGGATAAGACCAATGCACAATGAATGGTTCTAGCATTAATACAGCTTAGCACTTTGCGGCACTGTCATTTAAATAACATAAAAATTGAGCTAAATAAAAAATTGCTAATGTTTTGTTCTTTAACTATGCTTTAGTTTAAATGCAAGCATTCTTACACATATCAGTTTTTATAATAAATTTCCATTTGTGGTTTTAAAAACACAATCGTATAATATATATAAGATTAAGTTAAGGCAATAGCCAAAACATATATTCTGAAATAAAAATGATTTTTGAATAAAAATAGTTCTAGAATAGTTTATTTATTTTTGCAATATAAAACATCACTGGAATCAATTCTAGACTTTCCAAAATGCTAATAAAACTGGTTTGGATTTTCAATTTTGTTTGAAGAGGGTTTTTTTTTGTAAAATACTATCTGAAATTATACTTACAGGTAGATAAAGTTCAATAGTGCAACTGAACTGAATCTTTCCAGACTTACATATTCTGTCAAACCCATGCAAACAATCATATTTTTCAAAATTTATTCTGATGTATTTAGTTTTCAATATTGTAATTGCTTTCTTGTAATAAATTCTTTTGACAATGGCGCTGTTTATCAAATTTATATTTTAAAATGCACTAATTTTACAACTTATATACAAGGCTCTGTGCCACTGTGATTTAAACATTCCAACCAGCAGAACATTTTTTTAAAATTCAGATAAGTATTTTTTTGAAACAATCATTTCAGAATATTTAAAGTATTTTCCAAAGAAAACATTTCTCCAGTTAAAATTTAGAAAGAAAGCTCATTTGTATATTTGTCACTTGAAGTAAACAACACAACTTCATTCTAAGCTTTTCTTTCCATAGAGAAGTGACTTTCACTTTAACCTTACCTGCGAAAGGATGAAGCAGCAACATCTGAACTGACTTGGGATTTTTACACCTGCAAACCAGGGACACAAACAGAAACCTATGTTATCCTATGTTCATGTCAGGTCTTAATCTAACTAAACAAAGAAATCTTCCTGGGGATCGTAATGCTGTTTTTTAGCCTAAAGAGGAGGGGGACAGCACTTCGGTGAAAGACATATTGTCTTTAAATTGAAGCCTCAACTGTTGTTTCCTCCAGCAGGACTATCCCCCTCCTGCCCATGTCATGTGGAAGGCAGCCAAATGACGGGATAGTGATTCATCACTTGTCTATGACAGCTGCACACTGCATTACCCCTCCCCCAATCAACATGTAAAGCTGTCTTCCTAGAGTAGTTTAGGAAGAAGTGCCTAGGTAAGGAAGCTATTAACAGAGCAAGCAATTTTAAGGGAAGACGCTCTAACACTCCAACACCCTCTAAAGATCTATCAGCCAGCTTTTATTATCACTAGCTGAAATATATCTCCCTCCCACTCTTTAACTCTTTACAGTCTTTTATGCCTAGCAGGTTAATTTTTATCTTTTCACACAATTTATGTTTTAAAGTTCAGACTCCAGAAAGTTTTAAAAGATTTCAAGTCAGTGCTAAGCATGTAAAATACAGCTAAATTATATTTCTATAAATCATCTGCAAAGTTTCTTCATATCTAACTGGGCCAGAGATTCTATAGCCTTCCGATCTGTGCCCTCCTCCTCCAATTAAGCTAAAAATAACCATACATGCCTCAGAAAAAAGGAACTTTATGCAGTCTTTTAAAATATGAATCCCACATATAAAAATGGTATTGCTAAATAAACTAATTTATGTTCTAAATGAGTATCATCCTTCAAGACAATTATTTTTTTCCAAAAATATCAGAATCTTTTCAAACTTCTATAATGTAAGAGTAGCTTTTAAATTTGGAAATAACCTGTAAATAATCTGTGTTTAAGAGCAGACTTGATAGAAAATTTGTTTCTAAAGAACAGGTGATATATCTCAGGTGAAGATCCGCTGCTAGCCTGAAAGTACAAACAAAACTTCTCCAACTATGGCATATATTATTTTTTTAAAAATCTGAATCTAGAATTTCATCCAACCTTAACTGACATTTCCTAGATGATCACAGAAGAAAGACAAGAGAGATGAGGCATTTTAAGTGCCATAAAAGTCATCTAAGCAAATCTCACTTATGTGTTTGTAGTTTTTGTTATTTTTAATCTTAGACAGAATTACTACTTTAGAAAGCACACACCAACCCTATAAGCAGCCAGGCAACATATAACGTTACACTTAAGGGCAAAAAGCATGCTGTTACAGAGCTAGAACTACAATATTTTTCTTGTGCTGTTTTAAAATGCCGCATAGTGTATTTTTAAGAGACCATAAAAAGCTAATTCAAACTATCAAGTGTGTGTTTGCAACAGCTAAACCTTATATTCTTTCAAGATTTTTTATCAAGATTTTTTTTAAAAGACCTGTTAAATGGAAACTTTTTACTCTAACACTCAAAATTGCGCTGTAATGCCTTTAGGATATGTTCTCTTATGCTTCTTGAATACACTTTGAATAAATTATAGGTGGGAAAGTAACATACCGGTACTTAAAACTATCTGTTCTTAAGAATACAGATATTTTAGTATTTTAAATTAACTGCTATAATATATATTTTATATTATTTGTATAATATTTAATATATAGAATATAATGTGCTAATCATGTACAATAATACGAAATCTGTGTCTTTTGTAAGCTAGAATTACATATGATACCATATATAATACAAATATTTGCATATCTTTCATTATAGAAGCTGTGAGAGTTCATTTGCAAGATCTTCATACTTCAGTTGCAATCCTTTGCCTATGAAGGATTATTTAAGGCATGTGTTATACATTATACCATTTAAAAATAATTCTTTAATCAAAATAACTTTAAAACTACTAATCTCCTATTAGATTGGTCAAATGAATCCACATAGAGGTACAGGAAAAATAAATCTACTCTCAAGAATGCAAATGCAAGCAACAATTAAACACAGATGTTGGTGACATTATTATAATTTACAAAATACTATACTTCATATGTTTTTGGGGGACTATGGGAGATGCAAAATTACTCTGTAGTGAGTAATTGCAGTATGACCAATTTGTAGAGAACAACATGTGAATGAATGACACTTATTAATATTTTAATTAATACACATTTACTGTAGCTTAAAATTTTACTAAGAAATTGTAGGTGTTCAAAATCATGGTTTTACTAGTCAAATCATTCCATAGATCAGAAGCTTGCAGCAATAATTAGAATCAACTAAAGAATGGCTGCACTAAAATGGAAGATAGTGCAATATGCAATATTAGTGCAATATGCAAAAATTTCATTGTGAAATCAGACCAACAAGTTTTGAAAAAGCAAAATCTGGAACTTCTTTGTCATATAAGTAATTACTACACGATCATGATTCAAGAACTGAATATAAGTTAATAAAATGCAAAACTGCTTTTTAATTCTTCCTAAAAAACATGATGGAATTTTTAACTTCATTTAGTAAAATTACAATGACATTTAGAATAGTGATAATAGACTTATGTAGCTCTGTAAAGTTTACTTGTGAGCAGGCCTGCATAAAAGTGCACTGTTAAATATCTTCACAAATAATACCAAATTGTGACCAACTTATAAAATCTTTTCAGTTGGTCTTTTTTTCTAATTAACTTCATAATTCTTCACAGATGTAGGTTTTGTTGATATTCAATTTGTCTCTCTCATTTTGTTAAACCTCACATAGTACTCCAACAATCCAATGAATAGCCACATTAAATCTGTTAATACCATGCTCTTCAACCCCAGAAATTATTTCCAGAAGGCAAACTTGCTTTAAGAGTTCATCAAACAGAACTTAAGGTACACATTTTATCACATTTTCCCTACCACAGAGCTCAAGATGCAGAAGAAAATTCATGACTTTTGCACTGTTTATTATAGTTTGGTAAATTACAAATCAAAAGCATCTGACAGAAAATCATGTATGAAGCCAGAAACTTAATAATGTTCCGTGAAAAGTAAACTGTAAATGGGAAGGGTTTCTAAATCTCAGCAGCACAGAGCAAGTAAAGTGAAGATACTTGTCTAAATGATTGGTTTTCCAGACTTTTTAAAAATTGCTAGAAGCAATCCTTATAAAAAGGAATTTATAATTTAAAACATTTTTTCTAACCAAAAGGAATTTCTTTGAAGTAAAAATACTCTATAGTTCATATTTGAATTAATAAATTATATTCAGCCAGTTATAATTTAAACCCCCAAAGAGTTCTTTAGTTACTTTTTTCAAACACCCCCCTTTTTTTAAAAAAAAAAAGTTGACTTACAAGAGTCACAAATGTTACCGGTCTCAAACATGGATTTAGTTAAAAATTACTTTACAATGCATGTATCAAAAGTGCACAAATTATTAAAACTGGTTTTAAATAGCATTGTACCTTCACTCAACTGTTATTGGCATTACTAATGAAATATATTGACATATGACTCAAATATAAAACTGAAGACTAGGTCTTCTGAAATAGACATGGAAGTCAAAATAAAATATTTTGATTTGTACAGAATGGACCTTTCTTTTGATAAATATATATATGATCTCTGCTCTTGAATCAGGGATCTTTTTTAATTCTATGAATAATCCCAAAAACATCAAACAAGGCATTCCTCCATTTTTCTCTACCACTTGGAATCATGTATTTCCAAACTGTATTTATGAAAAATGAAATAATGGCTTGTTTTCTAAGACTGATCATTTTAAGGGAATACTGCAACTCAAATAATACCAAGATTTGATAATACATATTTTGTTATAAACAAACATTGGGACAGGAAGACCTGGAGGAACGTTGTCCATGGGGTCGCGATGGGTCGGACACGACTTCGCAACTAACAACAACAAAACATTGGGACATGGATTAACATAAACTATAATTCCTTCAAAAAAATAGGAAAAAAACTGAGCAGTATTAAGATGCATACTATAGAGTATGTTTTAAAGAAAAATATAAATATAAATAAAATATTCTAATTTCTAAAAAGCTATTCTTAAAATTGGTTAATTTTTGTTTTGCAGAAAAATATATTTAATTGGTTTAAATAGTGAAACTCTGAATTCAGATTTTATCATTTTCTTGTAAAGTGCACTTAAATTTGTTATCTGAAGCTAATTTAACATGATAATGGCTTGGGTATTTTAAATATCTAGTGGCATTTATAAAATAGGTCACTTTTTTATGAATGATGAAAGTCAGAAGCTTCATGTAAATTCAGTAATGCATTAATGCTATTTACTTGTAAGCATTGAGTTTTCAGAAATACCAAAATTTTACATTATACTTATGTCAGGTAGCTTGATAAAGTCCTCCTTTAATGCTCAGCAATTTTTTCCAGGATTTCCTCCTTCAGAGTAAGCTGTCAAGATTTCTGCCACACATCCTTCCTCCAAATTTATTTTCTTTCCTTCTGAATTGTCTTTCAGCAATTCAAGGATCTTTTTTAAATCACTCATCGCTGGGTTATTTATTTTCAGTGACCCGCGAACACTTGAGAAAACTAAACAGTCATATCAAGCAAATTTATCACAATAAATACTTTAGAAGCACAGAACATCCGACTTGAAAGACGTCTACATAAAGCTGAGCCAAAATATACTGGAAAAAAAATGTGACGTATATTAGGTATTAATAGGGATGGGGGGAAAGAAACGTGCATATGGTACCTCGGTGGCGGATCACTTAGTCGCTTGGAAAACTTGTTTTTGCAACATAGGGCATTCTTGCGGGTGACTTCCTTATAAAGCTTCAGTCGGGCCAAAAAAAAAAGTGTGTGTGTGTGGGGGGGGGGACTTTTCTCACCGCTTTACAAGAAGGGACAGTTGTTGTCAAATCCATGCAGTTTTGGAAACAGACAGGTTTGTACTTACAGCGAACGGCTTTGCAGCATCCACCAGGGTTAGGTACTCCCTTCACGTGAACCAACCAGTGTTTGCTCACATCGTTTTATTCTTAAAAGCTCAACAGACTGTCTTGGTTGAAAAAAACAACAAAACAAACCAGTGAGCCCCGACCCACTCCAAGCGCAGCCTAGAAGCGCCGCTCGCTCTGGAGGACAATTTCGCGTTTAGGGCGAGGAGCGGGTGAGGGTGACTTCTGCTGTTGCTGCTGCTGCTGCTGCTGCCGCCGCCGCCGCCGCCGCGGGCTGTGCTTGCCAAGCGTCTGTGTGAGGCAAAGGAGAGAGGGAGAGAGGGAGGTGGCGGCGGCGGGAGGGGCGGGGAGGGGGAGCCTTTGGGTCTCCAGAGCGAAATTGAAAACAGCCAACGAGGACTTTCCCAGGAAGGCTTAAAGTCGGAAGTGGCACTGAGGGGTCCGTCTGCAAGCAGCACCCAGTTCCCAAATCGGCGCGCGCCTAAATTCCCGCTCAAATCCTCTCTCGGCAAACCAAGGCGCTCGCTCGCTCGCTCGCTCGCTCTTCGGCCCTCCGCAAACGCGGCCGGAGAGCCGGTCGCTGAAGAACAGACAAAGGAACAGCCGAAGTCTCGTCGCGCTCGCTCGTTGCTTCTATGTTGGCCCAGGCTTGGAGGTCTGCCCCAATCTAGCCCGAAGGCTTTTCCGCCTGCTTCTCTTCCCCCCCCTCCCCAACACACCCCTCCTGCGACTCGTCCCCTTTTGTTTATTCCTAATGCAAACCACAGCTAGTCTCTTGCCCTTATTGGTTTGAAAATGCGAACAATCGAAGTTAGCCTTGGGCTGACTCGTCGGAGGCCACCTTTGCTGGCAAGCAATTTTGGTATGCAAATGAAGGATCCTGAGGCATGTGCATAAACAGCTGTGGAGGGGTGGGTGGGTGGGAGAGAAGCAGCTGAGCGCGCCCTGTCAAGAAGCGGGCCGGCGGGCTGGCTTTCTGCTGCGGAGGCGCCGGCAGTACCGAGCCACGTAGAGCTTCGCAGAGCAGGCGGCACGGGAAAGCCTCCTTTGCACCTTCCAAGCGGGCTAGCCCGGCATCGGGCTCCTTAGCCGAGAGCAGAGCTGGGGGATGGGAGAGGTGTGGATGGACCTAAAGCCTTGGCCCGATCCCCAAAGCAGGCGGCCAGAACGGCGTTCACGGCACTCTGGAGAGCTGCTTAAGTACCGCTAAAGAGGGCGATCCAGCAATACGAGCAGGCAACTCTTGCGTCTGCACTTGTTTGGATGTGTATCGGATTGGTTCCTGGTTGTTCCTTAAAGAGGCAAAAATACGAAAGGGAACAAGAAGGCTAAACGCTAAACCCCTTGCCTGTGCCAACCTCCGGCAATTTGTCAGAATAACCACCGACCTTTCAACTGTTAATAATGCAGGGGTAAAAACGATGTTGGGCAAAATGTATTATTTAAATACACTCCTACTTGGATTCAGTGTTTATTTTTTGGAGAGGGCGGGAGTAATTCTGCATTATCCTTATTTCTAGTCACGTTTTGCACAATGACTATTAGTTTATATAGTTGCGTTTTGCGTATGTTAAACATTAACATTGAATGTGAATACTTTAGAAACAATTTTTAAAGCTAATTCTTAGATAAGACAATTATCTAAAATCCAGTTAGCTAATATATGTTGTTTTGAGCTATTTTAACCAATGTCAGAATACAGACCCATTTCTAAATTAATACTGGTCCAATTCCAATACAAACGATGTACTATCAAAGAGAAAAAGATTGTTAAAACATGTTAAAATACCTGTAAAAACTGTTTCTGACTGAAGGTTATAGTTTTGCCTGAATGTATTGTTACACGAAGTAATATGAGTACCCACTTGAATACTGGAATACTGTACAAAGTTAGCTTCAAATAATGTTTGTTATAAATAAAAGCTTATAACCTCAACATACTTTACAAAAATATTGTGCAATATCCAGTTTACATATTTTCAGAAAAAAATACATTGGGTAAACTTTCCACTAGGCAAGGGAATTGTGCCATGACAGCCTTGAGCAGAACTCTGGTTGCTTAGTGAAGGCAAAAAAATAATAATGATAGACACCTTCCATATATGGAAGGTTAAGGTTAAAATCCACATATGTCTGTTAGGTCTGCTTCTGTAGCATGGCACATATATTCACAGATAGCCCCTCTTTTAATTCTTAAATATGTTCAAAGTGGAATTTGCAATGTTATATTAAATTGCATTGGCAATAAATTCATATGCAATATTTCAATACTTTACTGAGGTAAAATACTTTTAGGATGTCAGAGAATGCTCTTTATTTTGGGAGTTCTTTTCATAAGTAATTTATTTAACTAATTTGTAGTAATATATACAATAATGTCTTATTCCTCAAGCATATGATTAATACAAAACTTTCTTGGAAAAAGTGGTTTTATGTTTATTTTGAAACACATATTATTAATTTTTCCCCAAAAGGCAAGAAAGGAGAATATGAGGCAGTATGGCAAACACTAGACTTGTGCTAACCACACTTTTTAACAGTGCAGACCTATTCTGCCAATTCAGTTTGCTGAGAGTTATGCTCAAGAAAGTGAGTATAAGATTGAAACCAAATCCTTTTTAGAAAATATTTTAAAATGTTATTTTACCAATGAAAATACAATATTAGATATTTTGCATTTTTCAGTGTTACAAATCAATGGTAATGTTATGTACTTGATGAATTCAACCTGAATTTATTTATGTTTAAATAATGTCTATTCATATATATTTACAATAATTAACATATAAGCTACCTCAAATAAGACAGATGCAAATGATCTGGGAATAATGACCTGCTTTTGATTTGCATTATTTAATAAAACAATGTATACCTACTATATACTAAATAGAGCTACTGGTAACATGCTGCTAATCAATTATATGTCTGTGCTAGCAAATATTTAACAAAGTGTTAAACTTGGTAGTGGCATTAGAAAATGTGTTTTATACTAACATTTATTTTAATACAGTGCTTTTCAGCAGTTAGCTACCTACACTATTATTACCTGAGGGGAATAGAATCTTAAATATTTGATTTTATCTTGTCTTATTTATAGTAGATGAAGCTCTTGCACTTAGTGACTTTTTATAACTTGACTGTGTATTCTTTTGTGGGAGGAGTGTTAACTATTACTTCTCATTGATTCCTCCTCTTTGTCACTGAATATCCAATCCACGCTCTCAGATTATAGTATTTATGCATAACATATCTGGTAGAAAATTCTACTGAAATCAATGGGGGTGATTTAATGTATTTAAAATCAGGGTATCATACTTCAGCGAACTTCTTTGACCATTAAAACAGTTGAACCAGACTTTAAGTGCTTTAGTTTATGAAGTGAACTTGCATAGGCCCACTGTAGTTATTCTGAATATGTTTAAAGAGTTGCTTTCTCCCAAGGACAAGGCAGAATGCCATAAAATAACAGTAAAGGGTAAGTTTTATTTGTTTTCAAGAATGGTATATTTCCATTCAAACATCTTTTTGGAATACACAAAGCATCACTAAGCATCACTAAGATACAGTGCAAAACAATGTTCAGAAGTCTTTTTATGCTGCTGGACTAAACCAAAAAGCTTTTTGTTTGCTAGTACTGTAAATATCAGAAGGGGACAATTCAGCCTGATCTCTAGGGTAACTTCCGGAGATGAAGAGAGAATGGTCTGTCTGGTATTCTTTCCAATCTGCGTATGGAGTATTGGGATATAGATTACTCCCTATGATGTCCAAAGCCAAACAATCTGGAATCTCTTACATTTCAAATATTGAAACAAAGGGCAAAAGATGGTTAGCATAAGGCAATTACAGATAATATCTTGCTATCTTTGATTTTTTAAAATAGCAATTTACTTCATAAGCAGCTTTATTTAATACTGAATGGGAATCATTTGCTGGCATGCAGATGTTGCACTAGCAATACTGTACATACATGGAAATATAAAGTTATGACATGGCCTACAATATTTATTTTGTGAACACACAAAGAATATTAGAAGAAGTATTAAGAAAGTATTCTTTTTTCTCTCCTTAAAATGTAAGTTTAGATGAAAGCTAGTTTAGGCACATTCAAGCATTCTCAGTACTGTATTCAATGAAATACTTTTGAACAGCTGTCCCTAGTGATGTATCACAAAACTGCTTCTGAAATGCTGTGAAGTTTCAAAACGTGATGCTTCTGTTTGCGAATTTGCACAGGATATATATGGAACTGACATATTGCCAATACTCCCAAGAAGATGTGGTACTTGGGAATTTTGATAAAAATGTATATCAGATCAAAATCTGAAGACAATGATTAAGAAAATTATTTTAATTTCAGTGTTATTTCAGTTCTGTTAGATCCTAAAGTTACCTATATTGATCCAACAATTCATTTTGCGTTGTAGCAGAAATACACACATATAAACACATTTATTTTTAAAAAGCTTAATTGCTTCAGGTGGTAGTTTAAAAGTAAACTCATGCCTTTCTATTTTGAATATAAACAATCCATCTTCTCCATATTGATAAAAATTGTTCATTTGAGTGATCCTTCAAATAAGCCGAAATCTTTGCCATTTCAGCAAGATGCGAAACCTTCACTCTCCAGTCCTCTATTGTAGGTAAAGCTTTACTCTTCCAGTTTTGAGCTATCAGCAAACGGGCAGCAGTTAAACAATACAACATCAA